ACTGATTCAATGAATGGATTGCACAGAACACAATGCTGGCACATAGTGGGTCTGCAACACCACATGGTCCGTGGCCCTCAGTTGGCGGAGACCTGCAGTATGCCCACAGCGGACGCTGTACGCGCAGTCCCCACAACTCCTGCAAGCTGGGAGGTGAGGGACGCGGGCTGGTCCTCTCCCCCCTGCTCCTGCGGACGCCTCAGCTGCAGGCGGGGAGGCAGGGGCAGGGACCGCCGAGCAGCTCTGCACTGCAGCCACCTGCGCCACGGCCTGGGCCGAGGGAGGGCGCGCTTCCAGGCGCCCGGGGTGCGGTCGACTCCCGGAGGCGGGCGGCGGCGGGGCGGGCGACGGGGTCGGCGGGGCAGCGGACCCAGCGGGCGAGCGGGCGAGCGGGCGAGCAAGGAGTTAAGCCGGGCCAGAGGCAGCGCGCCTGTCAGACGCGAGCATGTGCAGTTTGCACAGCATCCGTACTATGGGTGAGTGCCGCCGCCGCCGCCGCCGGGGGCTCGGTTCGGCCCGGGCAGCGGCGGCTGCAGCCCCCGGGACCCCGCGCCGCCGCGGCGGGCGCCGCCACACAATGCGGGACTAGGCGCGGCGCTGGAGGGCCGGCGGCGTGGGGGAGGCACGGCCGGCAACCCGACGCGGGGGGGAGCCGGAGCTCCGGGCGTGGGGGCGGGGAGCAGGCGGCGCAGGAGAGCGCCCCGAGTCCCGGCGCGGGAGGAGGAGCGGGAGCGAGCCGGGGAGACGGCGCTCCTGGCCGCACCTGCACCCGGCAGGCGGCCGGCCCTGCCCTGCCCTTGCCTGCAGCTTCGGCCCCGCACCGGTAGGTGCCCGGGATGCCCGCGGAGAGGCCTTTTCGCCGCCGGTAGAGGTGGCCGCGCGGGGCGGGCAGCGCCGAGTGCGGGGGGCCCGGGGATGGTGTAGTGATGGGGGAGACGGGGCGGCCGGGCTGGGGGTTCTGCCCGATCCCTCTTCCTCTTTGCTTTCGGTTTCGAAGCGGCTGCCCCGGCTGGAGAACGAGCCGCGGATTAGGAGGTGCGCCCGGGTTTGGCTTCCCTGCGGGGGATGGGCGCACAAGGGGGCGTGTTGGGGAAGGGGTGCACGTTGGCAACTTTCCCCGCCTGAAACAAAGGTGTATCGGGGAGGTGGGGGGGGAGGAGGAAGGGGCCAGCGGGGATCTCCGGCCCGGAAGGTTGACATCCCCCCCTTCCTCCGGGCGGAGAGCACCTCTGAGGCCGCCTTGGGAGCGCGGAGGGGGGCGCCAGTTTCAGTGGGAGCTAGGGAGACAGGGCATGGGAGTGAGAAACACTGACCCTCCTGAGTTTGAGGCTGAGGACTTTCCTGAAGGGGATGGAACCGTGCCAAGATGACCCTGCCGTCTTCTCCCCGGAATGCATGGAAAAACTGGGTGATGGTGGACTGCACACCTGGGTGTCCTCTCTTCTCTGAGTCAGTGCTCTGAGGCCCGGCCCAGCCGCCTGGCCGTCCGCTCTCCCATTTGTCCTCTCTGATTCGCGGTCCTGGGGTGGGAGATGCAGGGTTGAGATGGGGACCATTACAGCCCTGTTCATGGCAAGGGCAGGGAGACATTGGTCTCTTTCCCAGGTGTCTTCTTTCCCCTTTCAGCGACCGGTCAGAACCTGACCCCCTTTCCTTCCTTCCTTCCTCTCCCAGGTTTTCTCGGGGGTACATTTGGTTGCCTCAGGTACCCAGCTTAGGGCGCTAGGCTGTTCTGATGCCACTTCAAACCCTCCCTGGAGAAAGAGATCAGGACCCCAGGGAGCTGTGCCAGAGTAACCTTGGGGGCTTTGCTCACCAATTCTCCTGTGTTCTCAGGACTGAGTAACAAATGCGCTGTGACTCTGGCCTTTGGACTTTGGTTATATTACCACCTGGGTTTCTCTCTTTGCTGTAACCAGGAAGAAGGGTAAAATATAGGGCTGAATGGCTTGCCCTGGGGGTGGTATACTGTTTTTCTCTCTAGAGAACAAATGGGCCGGCTTCCAGGTCGCTGGTGTCTCCAGCCCCAAGCTGGCTCGCATGTGACCACCAGCTTCCATTCTGTGGCAGGGCTGCCCCCATTGGCTTTCTTCCTCTTAGAAAGGACGGCACTGTGAGAGTTAGGTTTTCCCCTGGTTGTGGGGCAGAACTACATCTGCTTGCCTGCGGAGGCAGAAGGCACTGCGGGTGGCGGGGAGCTGGACTGTTGGGTGCCTCTCCTGCGGGCTCCTGTGAATGGGCTAATGATACCAGTGGTTGGACCAGGTTAGGCCATGTTGCTCTGGAGACATGGATGAGGTGGGCTGGGGTGAGGTTTGGCCTTCCACCCCAAGGCTTTGTATTGGGGACAGAGAGGGGTAACTGGGAGACAACAGGTCCTTGGAGGCCAGATGACAAGCTGATGTAATGTTGACTTTGGCCATTCAAAGGCACTGGAGTAAGGGAGGTTCCAGGACCAGTGAGGGGTGGCAGGAGAAAATGAAGTCCCCTGAGTCCTACATGTGTGGTGGAAGTCAGATGCAGGTGCTAGACCAGAGAGCACCACCAGCCGACTTGTGGGGACCTTTCCCTTCTAAATGGGTAGGGTTGATTATTGCTCAGCCCCCCACTGGGTTTATCCCAAGCTGTTTACTCAGAACTGAGAGTAAGGATATGGAGGCCTGACCTCCCCACCCCTGGTGGGGACTGTTCCTCAGATGTACTGACAGTCTGATGGAAAACGATACTCCCCCGACTCCCTCTCTCTCTCTTTTTTTTTTTTTTTAAGATTTTATTTATTTATTTGACAGAGAGAGACAGTGAGAGCAGGAACACAAGCAGGGGGAGTGGGAGAGGGAGAAGCAGGCTTCCCGCTGAGCAGGGAGCCCGATGTGGGACTCTATCCCAGGACCCTGGGATCATGACCTGAGCCGGCGGCAGACGCTTAACGACTGAGCCACCCAGGCGCCCCCGACTCCCTCTCTTAAAGCAATGAGACAGGAAGTTTTACATTTGTAAAGTGATTTAAGAGCCTTGGGTCCTTGAAAGATGTGAAGCAAGTTAGGGAAACTTATACTGGGTTTATTTCACTTGTATCAGATTTATATATTGTTTCTAAAGTAAGAGGTGTCATTTTGCAGGAAAGGGTAAATTACAGCTTTTGTGATAGGGAAAGCTCAGCGCTGGTTTTAAAAAGCGTAGTTGCAGCATGCAGGCTGCAAAGTATTTTTCTTCGGTCTCTGCTCTCTGGACATCCTAGAACTCCTTCCAGGTAGGATTTCCCCCAGTAGACAGGGTCCAGCCTGGACATCAGGGACAGTCACCTTCCAAGCTCTGAGAAGGGTCTCTGATGATGTCAGGGACTCTGATGTTACAAGTTGAGACCTGGGTACAGGCAGTAAAGTGAAGCCATTTGGTCTTATCAGAGGCCGTATCAGATCTGGCTGTCCTTGAGGGAAGGGAAATCTAAGCCTGCCCCCCCTCCCTGCACAGCCTGGCCATTTTCAAATTTGTATCCCTTTACTTTCCTCCTACTTTCTCCCCTCACCCCCAATTTATAGGCAAGGTGGTTTGGGTTTTCCTTTCTTTCTTTTCTTTCTTTCTTTCTTTCTTTCTTTCTTTCTTTCTTTCTTTCTTTTCTTTCTTTCTTTCTTTCTTTTTCTTTCTTTCTCTCTCTCTCTCTCTCTCTCTCTCTCTCTCTCTTTCTTTCTTTCTTTTCTTTTATTGCAGGAACATTCCTTTTAAGGTGTGGATAATTTCTGACTTGGCAAACTCTCAGCTTCCTTTTTGGCAACACCTGGCTAAGGAGGGAATGTCAGAAGGGATGTCAGGAAGAAATACAGCCTTTCTGGCCAGGTCTTCTGCTTGCTTTACCACCCCATCTCAGAAGTCAGAGGCTTTGTATTTGAAAAGTGAAGCGGAAGCGGATTTCTGGGGATGGGCTAGGAGGCCACACTTCTGGTTATGGTTTCCCTTCAGGGAAACTGAGCCACACTGAGAGTTAGGCCAGTGGCTGCGGTGTGTGTGACGGTCTGTGGGGGGCAAGTTTTCCTTTCCTGCAATTTCACCGTGTTTGAGACTCAAGCACTAGAGGACTCCCTAATAAGATGAAGACCCACCGATGGAGTTTAGGAACCCACATGTTTTGTTTCTGATGCCCATGGGCCTCAGACTCTGCACTGTGGGATTCTCCATGCTGCTGTGATTTAAGGAAAAGGAAGTGGCTGTCACCCCTGCAACTCACATCCCTGGATAGAGCTGAAGCTGAATCAGTCAGGTCTCATTCCCAGATAAAAAAGGAGGGCCTGCCCGCTTGCCTGTGCTCACACCCATCCTGTAGGTGTGGGCTCCTACTCTCCTCCACCCAAGGCTGTCCTCAATGTTCATTTTAACATCAATCCCCCTATATATACATTTAGTGGGGTTGAGGCCACAGAGTGGTATTAGTCCCCTGCTCCTTCAAAGGATGGTTCTGAAAGGTAACTTTCTACCCTCCTCTGATGTTGGTGCTTCTATCTTTGGGGCTGGTCACAGTCCTGTCTGGCAATGTGAGGAGTAACCAAAGTCATTGCCAATTTCTGTTTCTGACCATCCAGCTGCCCATTATCCTTTACTCTGCTGGCTCCCCAACAGAGAGCTTGATATCCTTTCAGGCTCTTGGCCCCAGTGTGACTGGTATTGTAGAAGGGACAGCGTCCTTGAAATTAGGGCCAACAGTGTACATGGACAGGACTTGGGTCTCAGGTTGCTCCTTCCTGCGGCTCCATCCTTTAGAAGCATAACAGTTTTAAAAGAGATAAGACTTGCATTGTCAAATCCTAACCTTATGTAGGGAGATCTAATAGATGGGGGGGTGCACATAATCTGAGAGCATTTTCTGCCATTCCTTTCTACTTTGGAAGCCCCGCCTTCAGAACACACTGGATTAGCCATTTCTGACTGCTTCCGCAGTTGAGCTTGAATGATGAATGCTTTCTAGCTGGTTCATTCATTCACTGTTTCCTTTCAGTTTTTAAGGGGCACCCCATCACATGAGTTTCTGGAATGGTCGGTTTCCATCAGAAAGGTCACTCACCCTGAGTTTTCGTTAAGGCCTCGATACCAGCCCCGAGGATCTAGGGATGCCAGCCAAGAAGGAGATTGAAGAGCCACAAAGAGAGGATTCTTTTCTGGACTTCTGAAGGGTGATTCATGCTTCAAGATAAAATGTGCTTCCTGGGCTCCACGGTTTCAGTGCTTGCACGGGAGGTGGAGGGATGGGCCCGGGTGCCGTGAGAATCCCACCTTATAGACAATAATCGATGTGCTTTGGAACAATGGTGGGGACCTATTTTTAGCTTACTGCCAAACCTTACCTTCTTTTTTATAGCCGTCCTTGGTCAGATCCCATTCTAGTCTGTAGGTGCCCCCTCCCTCTCATTCCCAATCCAAAAGGACTTTTGAAAGCCAGGACTAAGGCAGCCAGGGTATTGGTCTTACTTTCAGCTCGCTCTTAAAACAAATATGGATGAGAAATGTGTCAGCACTGGGTAACACAAGGAGCAGCTCCAGATTTTTGTTTTTCTAACTGTGTTTTTGCCTGCTACAAACAAGGGAATGACTTCCATACAATGACCTATAGGTGCCTTAAAGCTTTCGTAGTGCCTGCACAGTTTCTAGCACATGGTGAGTGCTTGTTAAATCATCAGCTGTGGTACATGGATGTGATCAGATACTCAGATTTCTAGGTCATTAGGCAATGATGTCGTTTGTGCAGGAGCCGATGGTTGGCAAAGGCTTCCAGAATCAGGAAAATCTTGGATCCCTCCCTGATTCACTTGTGTGAACTTGGACAGCCGATTTCAGCCCTCCGAGCCTTAATTCCACAAATGGAGCTTCGGCTGGTTTCAGTGATCATAACAATGATAACAGTGACAGCCACCATTTCTTAAAGACTTACTGTATGCCAGGCATTGGGCTAATCACTTGACATATGTTCTCTTTCTCTCACAGCAATGAGATAGCTACTACTAATTATCCCCATTTTACAGGCTGGGAAAACTGAAGCTCTGAAAGATAAAGTGATTGCACATGTCACACGACTAGAAGTGCCCAAACTGGGATGTGAGCTGGGATCTGTCTGATTCTGTTGTGTTCTGTAACCTTGGATCAGGGCATGGAACAAGTCTTGAGGAGAAGGTTAACGTGGAGATAGTGTCAGTAAGATAGAAGAAGGAGAGCTGATGGGGGTTAAACACAGCTAGTTAAAAGGAGATGGAAGTACAGATTATTTGAAAAACAACGTCCCAATGAATGTTCGGGAAGGAGAGAGAGGTTGGTACCTTGCACTGAGGAAGTAGACCAGATGGCCTGGGAGTTACTATAAGGGGAACAGACTCTCTGCTTGGCATAGGAATGTATCTCATAAACCCCATTTCATTTTGATGCCCAAATTTTTCTCTCACTGAACAGACTCTCTGGGCAGCGTTTTTCTTTCTGTCACCCTACTGCCACCAGTCATAATGGCTTATCTTTGCAGATTCTTGACTCCAGACCTCATCCTCCAACCTGGTTTCCGGGCCTTCCCCTGCTCATCGTTAGAGTCCAGCTGTGGAGACCTGATTCTGACTCTGGGGTCCCAGGTATACTCTGCAAAGGGTAGCAAGCACTGGACTGTCCTGTTCTTCTGAGAAAGTATTTGTGGCCACTGAGTGTTCCCTTCAAAGTTACCGGTTAGTTCATTGAGATGATTCTCATAATTTTCATCCATATTTGTTCCAGGCAAGTTAACTCTAAGGCTCTTCTACCATTTTGAGGTGTTTGTGGAAGAGGAATGAAGATTGAGGTGGTGGTCTGGGGAGGTAAGCAGACCCCACTTTGAGAGTGAGCGTGGTGGTGTATAATGGAGCATCATCCCGGGGGGCAGGGAGATTGGGGTTCTCTTGGCTCAGTGACTCTGGCCACATGACGTGAGTGCTTTGGCCTTTCGTTTCCTCATATGTAAGATGAGGATGTTGAAAGAGAGATTTTGTAAATCTCCTCCAGCAATAATGCTGGCTGACCCAGCAGAGTCTGGACAGTTTGGTCCTTTCTCAGGGAATAACTCAGCTGGTCTAGAATTGTAGGAAGTTAGAGCTGGGAGAACAGAGGTGGGGTTGAAGGAGAAGGAAGCCAAATTAAGGGACAAAGTCAGAGCAGGAGTAAGTCCCTTCTTGGGAAGGGGGACTGGGTTAGGTCATTTCTCCTCTGACTGTTTAAGTGGGGCAGCTGAGAGGTGGCATCTGTTTACCCTGTATTCACCATCTCCTAAACTGTGAGGAGCATGCCTCGTCTCCTGTCTTAACACTTAACTTCACACTCCTCTCATCCTCCAACTGTCCCCAGCCGAAGGCAGCAGGGAAGTTGTGTTTTGGCATATGTTGCACCTACTGCACTTGATTTGGCAGACTCCGGGGCATGGTTCAACCCAGAATCCACGCCCCAGCCCCCCAGCCCAAGGCTGCGGGACCTGGGCGCTTTGACCGCTGCTTTCCAGGTAACTCGGGGTTAGTGAGAACATGCCTCCTCTGGCAGCCCTCACTCCGCTCGGAAGCTCAGCCCAGGAACTCAGGGAGTCACAGCATTTCTGTTCATGGATTTGGGTCATCTCAAGTTCCCTTTGAACAAAGCCATTTGTCCAAGGACCCTTGGATTCTGCTGTCTGTTGGTACATCGTCGATTTTCCTTTCATCATGTTCAAGGTTGAGGAGCAAGTGAATTCCCACTGAACCCACCAAACCAATCTTTTCTGTCCCTGCCTGCCTTGCTTTTCCTCTTAGTTCCTTACTGCCCTTAATCCCATTATTCCCAGTGGTTACCCTACCACTGGGAACATGGGAGATGATTTCAGTTGGTACAGGGACAAAACATTTCATTTAAATAGCTATGTTTCTAATGAGTTAATGAGTATACAGAAACAAGACTCATTGGGTTGTACTCAGAAAGTGACTTAATTTTGTCTCCCACTGTCCCTTTATGCTTATTCAGTGGGATTCGTTCTTTTCCTGTCCTGGGCTGAAAACTCAGGCCCCATAACAGTCTGGGTCATTCTTAGGCAGTAGAAGGTCCTGTGGTCACTTTAAGTCACAAAACATAGCCTCAACTCAATACTTACTCTGTTCAGTCCTTTGTCACTGGGCTGGGAGGGACAGGAAATGGCTTACCTGGGCAGTACTGGTGTCTGCCGGCTTCAGCTTCCAGCTTCCCAGGCCTAGCAGCTATTTGATGCTGATTCTCTCTTGTGGCTGTGTTCATGGCTTCCTCAGAGGCTCCTCCCCACCAGTTGCTGGGATCATTCACTTCTGATTGTCTTGAAAAGAGCAAATTATCCTCTATTCTAGATCATTATTTTTTCATGAGCCCATAAAACCCAGTGATTTACCTCAAGCTTCTTCCAGCTAAGGTCCTCCAGTCTGTCTGGGTGGCCCTCTTGGACAAGACCTGCTCAGGTCTCATGCCAGCCTTCTCTTACATATGATGAAATGAAAACCTCTAGCTATATGTGTGTCAAAACCATAATTGTCACAAGAATCCCGTTACGTCACAGATACTATAGCTCGAGATAAGGCGGCAGCACATATTTAAAAATTTAACTTAAATAAATTTAACTTAAATAAATAGGTTAACAACAGCTAACACTTGAGTGCTCATAATGCCAGGTACTGTTAGCAGTCCCAGAAACAGGCTCTTCCATTTAACCCTTGTGGGGGAGATGCTTTTATTATTTCCATTCTACAAAAAGAGCAAAGAGAGGTCGAGCAGCTTGTCCTAGGTCATAGAGTTGGCATCAGAGCCTGGATTCAGATGGGAAGAATCTGAGCCCAGAGCATGCTTTTTTAACCCACTCCACGCTGTCTCTGCCCACAAGGGTGGTGGGCAGCCATAAGTCGTGAGGTGAAAAGCAGATGGTTGGCAAATGCTGCCTTAGGGAGCATAAGTGTGGGTTCTTCACTCCGGCCTTCAAGTTCTCCATGTTGCCTTTCCGGTAGTTCCTCCGTGCCCTTTGCAGGAGCCTCACCCCCTCGCGCAAGGACCCTGAGAGACTCATGCCCCGCCCCCTGTCCCCTCCCCTCCCCGCCCAGAGGGCCCTCCTCTGCTCTTCTGCCTCCCCAAATCAAAGTCCTTTCTCCAAGTCAGACTCATCTTTGCCGCAAAGGTGTGTTTGACCAAAACCACTTCAGCTGGGATCTTTTACTCCTCTTGGAATTTCATTACTATATTGGCAATTATTATGTGCTTTTCTGCAAAGAGTAGCGAAGGGCAGTTAGCAAACTCAGATTCTGATCTCTCTGTGCGGTTAACTGCCTGGTGCTAACTTGTGCAAGGCCTGAGACCTCTCTGAACCTTGGTTTCAACATTTTTTTCCTCCAAATTTTTATTTAAATTCCAGTTAGTGAACACACGGTGTATAATAGTTACAGGTGTAGAATTTAGTGATTCATCACTTACGGAGGACACCCAGTGCTCATCAGAAGTGCCCTCCTTAATCTGCATCACCTATTTCCCCATGCCCCCCACCCTCCTCCCCTTCTGTAATGGTTTCAACATTTGTAAAGTGTGAGTGTGGGTTAGCTCCCTTTAGTTTTCAGTAGAGCATGATTTATGTTTACCTTCTTGTCCCCCCTAACCTCTAAGCTCTTGAGGGTGGGAACTGTGTGTCTTGCCGGTCTTCTACCTCCCAGGACTCTGCACAAGGTTTTACACACAAAATGGATTGACTATTAGTTGGTTGACTTGTGGGAAGCACTGCTCTAAGTCTGCCCTGGGCTTGACCAACTTTTATGATTCACCTTCTTCTGGGTGATCAATGTTTGGGTTCAACCTGCTGCCTTTTATCTTTGAGAGACCTAATGTAATGCCTTAAAGCCCACACGCCTTTATCGGCAGTGTCAAAATCCAAAACGTTCTAAAACCAAAAAACTTTTCTTTAACTCACGTAATGGCAATACCTGCTCAGGACAAACAATGGAGGGGCGTGACTAGTCATAGGTCTGATTGCAGAAATATTAATGTGTTAAATTGAGGTGCTCGCCCCAAACCCTGTTGTGGGGATGATGTAATCCACGGGATGTGTTCTACATCACCTCTTAAAAAAAATCTAAAAAATTCTGAATTCTGAATTTGGGAAAGGGATGGTGGTGCTGGGTGGTGCTTGTCCACAGAGGTGCTGTTGGCATTGCAGGTGGGACTGGTCTTTGTTAAGCAGGACACGTCTAACATCAGAGAACCTCATGTTGCCCTTGCCTGGTCGGCCTTGCCCTAATCCCAGCTCTGATTGCAACATGACTTTGTTTACCAATTTGATTTTTTAAAAATATTGCATTACGAGATCGTGTAACTTGATTTGTAAGTGTTTTTGGTGCCTCCTTAAAGTTTGTGCCTCTCTTGCCTTACCCGCCTTCCTAATCCCAGCCCTGCATGACTCCTGAACCAAGAAGGCTTTCTTCTTCCCACATCCCTGTTTCTGGGATGAACTGGTGTGTCCTTAGAGTAGGAGCTACCTGCTGGGTATTTGCAGCTCAATTCAACCTGTGGAGTCCTGTTGGCTCCTTGGCTGAATCAGCTCTCCAGAGAGACTTGTAAACTGGTTCCTAGAGACATTTCCTACATCTGGATGCTTTTTGGAGCCCAGGTGAGCCCGGTTCCTCTACTTTTTTCTAGGATGTGATGCAGCTACTCACGTGAGAGTCAATCTGATTGATAGTTCCTACAGCTACTTTGACCTGACATTAAATAAATAAATACACACACACACACGCGCGCGCGCATACACACACACACACAGATGCTCCTGGGAAAACGTGAAAACAATAGAAAAATGTACAATGATGGAATCTAAAGCGTTCCATTGTGTGTTTTTTTTTAAAAAGTACTATCTGTGCCCAATGTGGGGCTCGAACTCATGACTATGAGATTAAGGTTCACGTGCTCTACCAACTGAGCTAGCCAGGCGCCCCTCCATTGTGTTTTATTCATCTTTTTTTTTTTAAGATTTTATTTATTTATTTGACAGAGAGAGACACAGCGAGAGAGGGAACACAAGCAGGGGGAGTGGGAGAGGGAGAAGCCGGCCTCCCGCTGAGCAGGGAGCCCGATGCGGGGCTCGATCCCAGGACCCTGGGACCATGACCTGAACTGAAGGCAGACGCTTACCCACCTAAGCCACCCAGGTACCCTTATTCATCTTTTGATGAGGAAACTGAGAGGTGATAGGGTTGCAAGTGTTTGTAGAAGAGCCAGGCTCAGACGTCTTGTTTCTGGACCTTCCATTGGCACTCTAAGCTGGCAGGCTGCTCTCTTCCTCTCTTCCCAGGCCCTGGGTGTCCTCAGATGGGGGAAGACTCATGAATCAGTTAGCTATCCCCTCTTGATTGAAAGACACCTTTTTTTTTTTTTTCCAGCTCTTAGTCCCTATTTGTCAGTGATGGGTGTGCTTATGAGAATTCAGGCCATCTTTCTCCCACCATTAAATAACCATCCCTCTCAGAATCTGAGCCCGAAGTATTTCTGGCCTGCCTTTTACCCTAGTGGAGGTCCTCTGAGATCACTTCTCTATCCCTATTCCTGTCCGTGATTCCTCACGATACAGCATTTTCCATAAATATCTGTAAGCATCCTCTTACATACTGTTTACTCATCTTCTCATCCATTAAGAAGATGTTCCCCAGACCAATCCTAGCACCTATTTCTTTGA